TTTGTGTGTGTGTGTGTGTGTGTGTGTGTGTGTGTGTGTGTGTGTTAGGGCCTAAAATATTTGTGCCAAGAGGTGTCATTTGAAATATGGTATTTTATCTGAATGAAGCTTTTTAACTTTTGCAACTCCCTCACTTTGTCACTTTGTAAATGCAAAAAAGCATAAATGGAAGATCATACTCTCCTTACACTCTTTTATTGTGTCTTTCTGTCCCAGTAACTACAAGACAATTATACACTTGTAAAAGAGCTGATAAAAAAAAATCATGCTTCTGGTAATTTTCCTTTAGTGGAAGGTCAAAAGCTCCCCGGGTTGTGTCAGTTTTTGTATATGGAGGAAAAACCCCAATCCACGTAACACTATACTGCAAAATTTTCCAACGGGAACAAAGAAAAAAGCATTCCAAAGTAAAGGCTTGGCAGTGTCTTACACCCCAGGAAACAACTTTGTTTTACTACAAATATCAATATCATGATATTGTTCCTGAACTTAAAGTCAAAGTTGATTAATATTTAATATAAAGTATTTCTTTAGGTACCCGCACAAAATGTGGATTATGATTCAGTATTTGATGCCATAATTTTAATAGGGGATTTTTTATGATTGAATTCTTCCTTGAAACAAGATGAGAGGCACTGCCATGTGTCAGCCGTTCATACGTGTGTGTGCAGTTGTGATGCACTATTTGTCACTGCAGTCTGTAGCTTAGGGAGTCTATTCCTGTAAAAAGCCTACTTGAAATACATATATACACATACATGGACATTATACATTAAAACGTTTACAGCAGAAAAAGTGATAGCAAAATAATCTCAAAGCAAAAAATAATTCATGTCAATATGCCATGTGCTCTAGGTCTTGAATCAATTTAGCCGTTGCTACTTGAGGCTATCTCCAAAAAGTTGATTCTGTTCATCTGGACGTAGCGTTTTGTGGGAGAAACGTTTCGTCACTCATCCAAGTGACTTCTTCAGTCTCAGCTGACTGCAGGTTTCCCCAATCTTATAAACAGTACATTTGCATAATGATTGAAACCAGCCCACTGAAGGAACATTGGGCTGGGAAGTCACTTAAGTCACTTGGATGAGTGACGAAACGTTTCTCCCACAAAACGCTACGTCTAGATGAACAGAATCAACTTTTTGGAGATTTACTTTCCTGGATGATTGAGAATGCATCAAGATACTTGAGGCTATAATAATAATAATAACGATATTAATGTTATAAAAATAAAAATCTAACATGTAATATAAAGTCAAACAACAACTGTGTAATCAACAATCCTGTCAGCTGAATATTACATATAATTTACACATTATTATTCATGTATCCAGATGTGTGAATTATTTTCTCTCACTAATTATCATGCTGTTGTACAGTTTCATTTTTTACAACCTGTCAAATTTTAAAAAGTGTATGTAGGTATCAAGTCATTGCTTTTTGGATAAAAAGGACCAAATATGCAAGATCCGTTCTCAGACAGTCATATGCTGATTTCAGACTTGCTCCATCTTCAGTTTACACTGATTAAAAGCAAAAAACTAACAAGCACATTTTGGGTACTTTTGCTCAACTTGTCCAGATTGGTGACATGAGTGATGAAATCTAACTATTGTCAGTATCTACTAATTGCCTAATCAATTATCAGCTCATGTTTTTGGATTTCAGACTGGTGATTAGACAATCTAAAGGTATCACTCAGTTTTCGTTATAGACTGTGATGCTCATTGTTCAGGAAGTAAGCCGGACTTATCTGCCGCCTGATAACCTTGTCTCTGTCCTCGTGTGGCTTTTTGGTCACCATTTGCATGCAACACAGTGAGGCACGTAGGCAAAGGACTTCACTCTTCTTCCCCCTCCTACTTTCTCATTGATATAAGCCCATTTAAACCCAGTGGAGCTGCACCGGGGCAGCTCAGTCTGACATGGTGGTCAGAAAATGTTTCCTTAGCTGTTTGTTCATATCTTCATGCTTTTTTTCCACTGCTTGCTTCGTGCTATTGTGGCCTATCAGCTGGATGGGTTGCAGTTGACATGATGGGAAAAGTTCTCACTGTTCCCACTTTCCACTGTGACATGAACACATCAGATTTCCAGAGAGAGTGGGAGCTCACCAAGGGAATACACAGTTGCCAACTCCAGGGTTGTGAAGCTTGGAGCTTTCTCCTCACAGACGCTTTTCACGTCATCTTTGCGATTTGTTACTTCCAGCACTGTAGTTGTGCACATGTGGGCTTATCGATAGCTCGTGCTCAGGATTTTCATGCCTGGCTTAGCATTGCGTTGGACTGTTTACAGAAATAACCAACTGTAGAAAGAGTTATAAGTACTCGGTGTGGTCCTGTTGATTTCGCACATTGGACTTTGTCATTGATTGTGAATTTGTGGTTTGTAGTTCCAACTTACACAACTTCATTTTATCTCCTTTCTTAAAATCTTGATTCAGTTTTACTCTTATCTTAAATCAAATTTTGGTTAAGCTGGCAACTAAAGCACATGAAATATGTTGGTTTTCCTGCCATCATCGTCATCTAGAGAAAAAAATCCTGAATGACAGGTTTGTTTTGAACTGAAAAGTCTCCCCAGCCTTTTTATTTCTCTCTACAAAGAATGCAATGCTGTTTGGGAACAAGTATATGGCTGCTCTGGTTTAAATGAGAGGCCCTTTAAAATTTCAAATTCCTGACAGCCTTAACATAACAGCAGGTATTTTGATTGGGACTCCAGTGCCAAAAAACAGCCTCACATTGTACAGACTTAATTGCACTCGATTGATTCCTCTACGTCCTCAGCCTTTCAGGCAATACCCAGTTCCTGCTGTCTTTAAGACAGTCCAGTAGATTAACTTTCATCTGCGTGACTACTTCTCTTCAGTATGTCTTATAATGTAACTGTCAGCCATGTATTAATGGGGCATAATGAGGCTTTACTGTAAAACTAGGGATTAAGAGATCCAGGGGGGGTTTAATTGAGATGAACAGGGAAGCAGGAGTTCATGTTTAATTCACTTCATTAGTGCTCACTGTACTGCATCACTCCCACCTCTGGTCACTCTGCAAATTACTGTTGAAATACAGTGTACCTTTGGGTTTCTTTTGACATCATTTTTCCACTGGGATCAGCTCTATTTAACAAATCAGATCTGACCAAGGGCATTACTTTTATGTCTGACCTTTAATTGTCTGGTGTCACCTCTGACTGTCCAGCAGAAACAGCACAAACTGTCTGTTGTATTCATTTATTTATGCAGGTTAAAAAGATATAGGACTAAATTATGCAGTATTTACTGCCCAGAAATACACTTTTATTTCTTTGTCTAAGAATTATATCATTAATACCCATCCAGCATCAATATTTGTGTATTTATTGTAATTACTATTCTACCTATTTGCTTATTCCTTCTTTTAAATATACTGATGCTGACAATGATGCTTAGTCTTTGGAACATGTGAACAGTTATTTAAACTTTGACTCGTGTCTCCTGGTGTTTATTTTGCATTTAACAGCTGACATCCAACTTAAGATGGTATAGTAAATAAAGGACCACATACACATTATTAGTGTACAGCTTTCAATGGTGAGACTAACATTCCCAAGCATAGAGCACAGCTATAAATACATTTTTATCTGATCTCACTTGAGCTTGGCAGAAATTTCATTGGTACTGGTAGATAAGGCATTAACGGGCACTCTTGAAATGTTGTTTACTTTAAGTGTATACAGCATTTAGAGGTAAACAATTTCTTTAAGGATGACAGTAAAGGGTCACAGGACAAACATGTAGGTGACTAATATCTCACATGACAACAACTGTAACAGAAACAACAACAGTAGAGTATACTCCATATTAGGATCTGCTAAGCTAAACTGTCATTATTGCAGTATTTATGTCATGTGTTATTAATTGCATAACATGCATAGAATGAAACTACTTTGGAGTTTACATACCATAATAAATACAGTGCAAGCATCTGTGTCTGCTATAGTGTCTGGGCTGTGAGGTCCAGATTATAATGTCAAGGGTGTATTTTTACTTTTTCTCCTTATAAGAAGCATGGAATTTATTTGGAAACAGTGCTCACAGAGCACGATGTGCTGTTTCAGTCAGGTGACTTTAGGAGGAGGGCACATATTGGGTTCCCTACAGCAGTGTAAGCTGAGACTGCAGCGGTGACCTGGAGTGGTGGAGGGACGTGATGGTAGGTGTGTAAACCAAACCATGACTCTAGCACGTACTGACGAGAGAGAAACCTCTTGGAGTGTGGCTGTGATGAGTTACAGATTCAGCAGTGTACAAAACACCTTATTGAGTTTTGGCAGGGAGTAAAATGTTACAACTGCCTAGATGGACTTTTTTCCGATGGCCCCGTTTTTTTA